TGACTTGGCTCAGCTGCAAGGTCCTCACTCAGAATCTCTCATTTCAAACAGTCAGAGAGGGACAGGTATAAAAGTTATCCTAAGACTTGACCAGGCTGCACATCTAAGATGGTACCTTGGTGCTTCTTCACATGACATCTCTCTTTAGCAGAATAGGTTGGACTTCCTATGTGATGGTTTAAGACCTAACTCAGTGGGTGAAAAACTCATTAACTGGATTTGTTGGGCTAAGAATAAAAGTTTTTATGCAAATTTTATTTGTTATATTCTGTCCTTTCTCAGGAGGCCTCTTCTTTTCTGAGGCTCTTTATCAATTCAGGCCTCAATGGGTTAAATGATGATTACTCATATTGTTGACAGCAATCAACTTTACTGAGGTGCACTATTCAAATGCTAATCTTATCCAGAAATGCTCTCACAGACACATCCTGAAGTAATGTTTAATTTGGGCACCCCTGGGCCTAGTCAAGTTGACTCAGAATTTACTATCACAATACTAGATTTGATGATAACCCATTCTACACAGTATAAGTAATGGCTTTTGTTGTTCAGTCTTTATGTAGCTATCCCACTGCTAAAATCAAGATCAAGCTTTCTTTCAGCTGCCTAAAGGTTGAAACTTACCTGATAATATCTTTCCATGAAAGTTCAAAAGATAATTAGTATGGTGAAAAAGTTATCCTCAATATTACTTATCAAAGATAATGCATTTAGGCTAAGGAACTATATAGAGCATTTTATTAAGTATTTGCAAAAAGGAGATAACTCACTGATAACTGTTATCAAACACCAGAAATTTTACTAATTTTTAAAGAGTTTAAAATAAAGGATCAAGTTGCAAGTTGGAAGAAGAGAAAGGTAATGAGTGCACTGATCCTTTGTTTATATCCTAAGTGATTAAACAGCTAAAATTTTAAATTAATCAGTTCTTCATAGTAAAGACTTTAGTCAATCATCTAAATCAGGATTCAGCAAACGATAGCCTGTGGGCCAAATCTGACTCATAATTTGTTTTTGCAAATAAAGTTTTATTGAAACACAGCCAAGCCAATTTGCTTGCATACTGTCTATGGCTGCTTTTGCTGCAATGGCAGAATTGAGTAGTTGTGACAGAAACCATATGGCCTGCAAAACAAAAAAAATTTATTATCTTATCCTTTACAGGAAAAGTTTGCTGACTTTGCTGTACAGAGAAAATTTGATTACCTCTGACTAAAATGGTGAAGGTTGAATTTGTATTGCAAGACAAGTTGTGTACACATTGATGGAGGTCTTACTTTCTTGGACTCTGGGTGTTGTGAAATTCAAGAGTGAAATATCCTGAGAAAGAACAGAATATAATGGAATGTAATTTGCATGGGAACTTTTAGTCTTAGACCAACAAATCAAGTTAATGAGATTTTAACCCACTAAGTATTTTCTAACTTTAAGGGCAGAAAATATTTACAAATATTTGCACTTGATGAAACAAAACATCCAAGTGATTGCTTCATTGTTTCCCTTTAATTAATATTGATTCTTTTTCTAAGTGAGACAAATATATTTTTATATTGGATTATTCTTTTTAAAGAGTATTTATTTTTCTGCTTTTCTCTCACTTTAATGATTTCTCATCATTCAGAATGAATCACTTTGCCTAGAGATGGGTTGTGTTTTATTAATTTTTTTTTTTTCATAGAAATCCAAATGGAAAGAAAATCAACATTTGTTTTTTGGGTTCTGAAACAGGCCCTTGGAGCTCGCAATCATTTTGAAAGACAAAGCTGTTGTCATAGACAGCTTTTCAAGGTGAAAAATTTGTAAAGAGAAGAAAGGGTGGTAGGACATTTGTAAAGAGAAGAAAGGGTGGTAGAGTTAGCCATGAAAGAATTTATGTCACATAATAAAGTGAAAGGGTGGAGGGGGTTTATTCATTGTTTCCTATAGATTAAATATGAGCACACCCCCAGGTTACCATCTGGGAGGGTTTTGATTGAGGCATCATGTTGAAGGAAATAAGAGGGACTTAAAATGAGGGTACAGGACCTAGGGTGACCATAGGGAGAGGGACAGAGTCATCTCTGAGGAGCAGCTGCCGTGTGGCCATGCTAATACCCACAGACACTCACCCCACCGCGAGGCCTGTGCTGAGAGGCCTCCCACCACACTATTGCCTGGCAAGGGCCTGCATGTCTGCCATGGCTCAACTCAGAGAAGTAATCCTCTTTATGCCTAAAACCTTTTTTTTTTTTTTTCTCATGCCAACTCCTCTGTGTAGCCAGCCTCCTTTAGAATGGCCCAGGACACTCATAAGCCTCCCAAATTTTGGAATTTGGAAGAGGTATGTAGGGGAGGAGCTGCTGCACTTCCTGACAACCTGACCTGTTCCCAGATACATGTACAAGGACTGAGTGCACTTCTACCCAAGTCTTGGCAAAGTGCTTGGTGGAACAAGAAAGGATAAGCAGCCTGGAGAAGAGATGCTATGAGCATAGCTTACTTCATTCTTAATCTTTCCTCCATTAAAAAGAATCATTTGATTCACTCTCAGGGGAATTTTTCTTGGAAGAATAAAATGTTCTCTTTTCTTTTAGAATATTTTGAATTCTTATCAAATTTCTTCCAAATAGGTCATCAAAGGGGAAATACAGAAAATAGAGCTTTAGTAGGGAAAGTCTAAAAGAATTTGGAGCAAGAGGCCAGGGAGCCTAGGATGACAGAAGGAGGCTAAAACTCTAATATGTGATCCTAAGTAGGATAAATATTTCAAGAGGGGGGCTTCCATACGGAAGATTTTGCAGGTATAACTGAAAGAACTACTGAAGGAGGCATTGTTGGGGTGCCCAGGAACTGTGTTAAATCATAGTTCTCACCAGACCACCCATTTGTCTTCATCTAAGAACTTTATGTTGCTTCCATCTAGGCCCTTGGGTACTTGGTTGTCTACAGGCTCCAACATCTGACTGCCTACTCATGCTGGTGTCTGGGGAAAGGCCATGAATCTTCCCTCTGCTGGCTGGCATTGCCTACTCTAAGAAATACTTTGCCACGGCTCTCTTAACAAATCCCACTAGTCTAAAGGAGATGCCTAGCTACTGCTAAGAGCAATGTTGGGGAATAGTTATCATTCTGCACTCAAGGATGGGAGTGAGCTAGCTCAAATCCCTAAAGTAGGATAATGGTTACCCACATTACATGAGTCAAAAGCAATGGAAGAAACCATGAAGGAAAAGATGAACCAATTTTGCTATATAAAAATGAACAACTTTGGGGTATTAATAAATAAATAAACTTCACAGATAACTTCTTTGTGCCTGATAGAGTTTTGCAAGAACTAAATAAGTTAGCAATAAAGGAAATTATTGTAATATTTGAGAAAATTTAAATATAGATTGTATATTAGAAAATATTACATCTATGCTAAATTTCTTGGGAAAGAGAACAGTATTGTATATGAATCCCTTATTCTTACACCAAATTTTAAAGTATTTAGGGTGCAGAGTCATAATGTCATGATATCTACAATCATTCTAATCATTTGAAAAAGAAGTATACACACATATGTATATGAAGATAGACACACAGAAATAGACAGAGATAACAAAAATATTGCAAAGTGTTAACCCTTAGTAGATCTAGGTGAAAGGTATAATAAGAGTGCTCATGTACTAGTCTTCCAACTTCTGAAAGCTTTGTATTTTTCAAAATAAAAAGTGAGAAGATAATGAATTGATGTATGTAATGTTTTACAGCTGTTAGTTATCAGACTGAAATCATTTTGAGGACAGGATTCTTTGCTTTCATATATTCAATGTCTAAACATTGTCCTGCTCTATAGTAGATGCTCAAACCACCTTATACCTAACTAAATAAAAAGATGAATAAATTATTGTATTCTTGTTTCTTACCACTACCTACTTGCCTTTACTATTCCCATTAGAAATTTGTTTTTAAGGTTAGATTAAAGCACAAATTACAGTTAAAAGTTTGCATATGAGCTGTGTGTGTGTGGTTTATATGTAAGAGTTTTATACCTTACTTTACTCCATACCACACTTTAAAGCAAATTAAATAGGAGTAGGGTTGCCAGATATAACATAGAATATTCTATTAAATTTGAATTTCAGGCAACAATGAATCATTTAGTATAAGTATGGTCCAAATAGTTCACAAAGGCCAAATATTCAAGGAACATACTTATACTAAAAATTATTCATTGTTTACCTGCAATTCAATTTTTAAAAGGCATCATATTTTTTATTTGTTAAATCTGGTAACTCTAATAAAAGCCATATATTCTTCCTGATGTATATGGCCAACCCTGCCCATGAGCATGTCAAAATCTTAGTTAAGATGATGTATCTATAAGAAAATGTTTACAGTTTTTCTGAATTTTAAATTATAGTGGAAATAAGCTTTTATCCTTTTAGCTGAATTGTCCCCCTACTTGCCTCCCATTTTTTTCATTCCGAATCCCTCACTTTTCTTCATATAACACATTTGAAGGATTGCAATTTTTATTTGTGATAAAACCCATAATAGAATATACGTACAGGTCACATAAAAATACACGAGGATGATAATTAAACTATACAGTGTTGGATAGGTAGTGTGATTAATGAATTACACATTTATTGTATACAGTGTCACTAATGTTAAGAGTTTCTTCTTCAAAGCACTTTTTGCACAAAAAGTATGTTTTAGCAGATATAGAACAAACACGTTAAAAATACTACTTACAGAACTACAACTTCAAAACATTCAATTGAACTCAGTCTCATGGATTGGTTGACCACTTGACAAATGACCCTGATCTACAATGACCTCTCAATAGCATACCAGGGGGAAGCAGCATGAAGCCCATTACTTGCAGAAGCAATTACAGAAAATCACTTTGGAACAGTAGCACCATTCCACATTGTTATATGCACCTGTGTTACATTGCTCCTTCCTGAGTTGAACATTGAAAACTGTAGCCATATGAAACACCAGAATGGATGAACTCATCCCAGGCTGGGCCTTCACTGATGGTAGTAGTAATTTTGACCGTCATAGCTATCATAGCCACGCCCTTTATAATAGCTGTACTCATCCTCATAGGCTCGGTAATTGTCCCCTCGAGGTTCCGCATTCTCGTTTTCGTAGACTTCATAGCCATTGTCATATTCATTGGTGCCTGTTTGTTCATACTCCCCCTCATATTCGGCGGTAGTGGTTTCCCCCGGGGGTGGTGGGGTGGTCCCATAGGCCTCCTGTGGTGGAGTGGTGGGTTCGAACCCGCCGTTGTCCTGCTCTCCAACCACTGTGGTTGCTTCTGCCTTTTCTTCTTCCTCTTCTTCTTCTTCTTCTCCATTGTCTCCTCCGCTGCTGCCATTGCCATTCTCTACGTCTGTGCTGTTGGTGTTGGTGCCATTTACGCTTTGCCCGTTTTCATCCACTTCTGCTTCGTTTTCCTCATTTTCTTCCTCTTCCTCTTCCTCCTCTTCCTCTTCTTCACTTTCTTCCTTTTTTGTAGCCTTCTTTCCTACATCTCCAGCCTGGAAGGGAAAATTTGAAAAAAATCCAAATCTAGGCATGAAAACATGTAAAAGAGGCCATCACTTTATTCAACACAGACTGTACTGTCAGCCTTATACTAGGTATAATTCTGTATTGAAGCCAGTTTAACTTAAAAAAGGATTGGTGGGGACCTTAAAAATTCAGAATTTGGACCTTTGTCTCTAGGTTTTGAAAATGTACTTGATAAATGAACTTCCTCTGTGGGAGATGCTACTACTCACTTTCTGTCTTGAATCATGTTCCCTGAAATGTAACAGCATCTCTCAAGACCTTTAATCCATTGCTAAGATGCTTGTCCTTGACCTTTCGTTATAAAGTAAAAGTCATGTAATAACACGGGAAGAGAACGTGTATTGGAAAAGATCTTTTCTTACTTGTTAACCAGAAAATTTTATCTGCTCTTGCATTCTCGGTGAGTTAAAAAGACAATACAGAATTCTTTGTATATAGCATCAAGATAACCTTAGGCTTCAGTGGAGGAATGAGGTCATATTTAACATTGAGATAAATTATTACCTTCTTGGGAAGTTGGATCGCAGCTAGGCCTACATTTCCCGTTCCTGGTGTGGTCTCTTCTCCGTAGACAGGTGTTGTAGCAGAAAGGGTGGAATTCTCAGCCTCAGATTCTTCATCTTCATTGGATTCCTCATTGTTTGCTTCTTCGTTTGAATTCTCCTGGTAGAAATGTTCAGAGCAAAAAAAGTTATTTTAGCCAGAAGATAACTCAAGATTTGTTGGAATCATGAACCACTATTGGGGAAAAAAAACTGCATCCCTCAGCCAGCTCATCACCCAATGTTGATAATTCTGCTTCCTCTTATGCAATTTGTACTTCTAACTTCTTATAATTCAACTCAAAGCTACCACATACCATGTACCTCACTATAGTGTGTTCTAGATATCTTTATATTCTATTTAATTAATTTAAAAATATTTGTATAAAAATTTCAGCATATCTTTCTATATGGTATCACAACATATAGGATTTAGGCTCTTAAAGCCTCACAATTAAAGTATTTTTCATTAATTGAAGTAATATAATTTCAGTTGATTAAATTTCAGTTGATTAAAAATGTTGGATTTAAATAATTGAAATTTAAAAATTCTTATTAGCAACTACTACAACATGGTAGTAAATTAACTTTTATACTTGCTGATGAATTAGCTGATAACTTTATACCTATTTTTCTTTTGTTCTTTATAGCAGCACTCTAAGGTAGGATTATTACTCTTTTTAGAAAAAGAAATGGAACTCAGAAAAGCTAAAAAACTTGCTTAAGTTTTCATGGTAAGTGATAAAACTATAGCTTTCTAACTCAAAAAGCTGAGCCTTTGAAGTTTTTGATGATTGTTAGAATTTATATGAGTTGTCAACATGACAACTAGCATATATTTTTCAAAAGGGATTTTTTTATATAAACCAACTCCTTTCAAACAAATTGATAACATGTCTTATTAATTACCTAAAGAAGTGACTACATCTCACTAGTTTTTAAGCTTATTAAAATAAAATGGATATATTTAATTCAAAATCTATCTGCAAATACGTAAGCCAGTTATGTGTCATATGCAGTATTCAAAAATTGTCAGGAATTTGACATGCAATCAGTTTTCCTGTGCAATAAGGAAACTGATACTCCAAGAATCCCTTAGTAATATATTATGCTATGCATGAATATGTTTTTGTAAAATTACCTCTTTTCAAATGAATGCTTATTATAATTTCTTAACATTTTAGTCTTTTTCCTTTACTCCATGTTGTTAGGCAATTGTTGTTAATTGAGTTAATTTCACAGCTAATATTAAAAATCAGGAATCCATTTCTATAGAATTTATTTACTTTAAGTCTTAGAAAATTTAATGTATTTTAATGTATTTTTAAAGACACTGTGATATTAGCATTACTTTAACTAGGGATCCTATATTTTAAGAATTGAAAAACACACAAACAAAATTCAGACTTAGTCTGACTTATTATTAAAAAGAATATGTTTGCTGGGCAGGTGTGGCTCAGTGGTTGAGCATCGACCCAGGAACCAAGAGATCTTAGTTCAATTCCCGGTCAGGGCACATGCTCAGGTTGTGGGTTCAACCACTAGTAGGGGGCATTAAGAAGCACTCCATCAATAACTCTCTCATCATTGATGTTTTTATCTATCTTCCTCTCTCTAAAATCAATAAAAATATATTTAAATATAAAAATAAATATGTTTGCTTCAGAAAATTTATAAATTCTACTGTTTCAGTGAACTCTTGGGAATACTAGAGTCAATCCCAAAACAGTCGCCAAGCTAATTGTGTTAAGTAGCCCACAAACATCATACTGTTTATTTATTTTTCATGTTTATGTTTTAGTTCAACAAACAAAATCTTTCAGGTATGGAGGAGGGATGATCCTTAGAGTAAGAAGATATACAAGTTGGGTCCCATACCTTCTTTTCACAGGTGAAAAATCTGAGGTCCAATGGAATAAGTATCTCATATGAGGTCAATAGACAGCAGTTAATTAGTGGCAGGGTCATGATTATAAGCCCAAACTCCCGATTTATGGACATTTACATTTTCTCCTACAACACCCTTTCTTTTCTTAGATATTTTATTTGAGGATGTCCTGCTATGATAAGTTAAAAAGGAAATTAGACCAGCCTGTTATTGATGGGCATTAGCCTTCAAATATCTAATTGGATAGAAAAATAAGTAGTAACTTGTGCTTTAAAAACTATTATTAACCCACTAGAATACTAAAATGACTGAAAGAAAAAGTGTTAGTGAGAACCCTCCTATTGACAGTGGGAATTCACATTGGTACACCTGTTTAATTGAATCTACTCAGGTTGAACATATGCATAGCCTTTTGGTTTAGAAATTTCGCTTACAGATAAATTGACAACCAGAAATGAATGCATATGTCCATCAGAGTGAATACTAGAATGTTCATAGAAACTACCCAAATGCCCATAAGCAGAAGAATAATACATTGTGGTACATTAACATAATGAAATACTAACAATGAGAATGAATAATTTACAATTATAGAACAATATGAATCAGTCTCTGAAGTTGAAAGTAGAACAGGCTACACACAAAAGAATATTTGCTGTGTGATTCCATATATGCATATAATACACAGAAAGGTAAAAACAATCTGTTAGGAATCAAAATAGCAGTTGCCCTTGGTGGGGGTTGGTTAATGAATGGAATGGAGCTCAAAGCACATGCTACTATTTTATATGAGTGCTGGTTGCACTTGTGTATTCAGTTTCTGAAATTTCAATGATCTACATACTCATGATAATTGTGTTAAGTGTATTACATTTTAACAGAGGTTTTATAGTTATTGAGACTGGATGGTTTAGAAGTTGAAAATATATTTGTTTACCAAGTAGAAAATAAACCTACACGCCTTCTCATGTGAATACAATTCCCGGAGACTGTTTAATCTGAATGGCCAATGAACTTGTAGGGAAGAAATGGGAGCAAAATGCTTGTAGAATCTCTTTAGAATGGAAGACTTTTTTTTTGTGTGTGTGTTTTTTTCATCCACTTTTCAGTGATCACTTTTAGTGAATGATCTTTGAAGCATTTATTTCTCTGAAGGTTCAAAACCAAACCACCAAAAATTAATGGGCACTACATATATATAGTGCTGCACTATTTCTTTCTAAAGAGGAATGAAACCTATGGTCTTTAAGTTTATGGGGTCATGGGGAGATTAAAGATAATTTATTTTAGTATCATAGATGTTCAGAGGTTGCAAAATTTTGAGTGTGTGTGATTACATCAGAGTCATAAAGGAGTCCTATTCTTCCTCCATCCCCAACCACCATTCAACAAGTGAAGAGCCAAAAGGTACATAATCTAGTTGAGAAATTTAGCTGGCAAGGCAATTTTACAATCACTGTACAGCTGTAGTTAAGTGGATTATCCCAGCTTAGTTCTTGTGTAAGATTACTTTATTGGATACAGGCAGAAATTTGTGGGATTTAGTAGGTGGCATTTTTTTCTGGTACTGGCTTGGCATTCTGGTTAAGGCCTTCCTTTAAGCTAGCAGGGTAAAATACTGTACTGGAAATGTTAATTTTACAGTTTAAAAAATCAAACTATTTGTCATTTTTAAAGTTCCTATACTGTTTTGTTTTCAAGATTAACAGGCATTAATTCATGATCCATTTTTCACTGTCATTGTCCATTCATAAATAGCACCTATGAATACCTGAACTTAGAAGTTTCCCAAACCAGTGGATTGCTATAATTGACAACCCAGGAAAATGTACCTGATTAGTACATTTCCTTGGGTAAGAGTGTCAATTATAAGCATGTTAGTACAATTTCCAAGATATATAGGTGAATTATAGCCATGACTATACTGGTTTTTAGTATGATATCAGAAGACATTTTTACATCTTGAGTATTAGCCTTTCTGTAAAAATATAAATTTTGTCATTAATCAAAGATAAAATTCCTATAAAAAGAACAATGCTACTTTGGTGGGTCAAGAAAGGCTGATGAATCACAAAACACTATAGTATAGAGGATATGAGATTAGTTTTCATCTACTACTCACTTAGTAAATCAAGTTTAGTCATTAAAATAAGCATTTCACTGAGTTTAGAACTATTATACACTTGTCTTTTACCATCATGTTCTATCCACTTACATATAAATAATTATTTCATGTTTATCAGAATTCAGACTTCTTCCACTTAAAATGAGGGTATGTTTGGTTTTGTGTACAGGTCACTTTAACCCCAAATGGCAATAGTTTTAAACAAGTCATTTTAGTTTATTCTAATTTAAGTAACATTTTACTTGTCCAAAATAGAAGACTGTGGGCAGTTGGTAAGCAGGCCATGGCTGTTTGCTGAGTCCCTACTACAGTAAACTAGTTTCCTATTTGTGTTTGTGCTGCCTGGTTTGTTATGAAAAAAACTGCAGAAATTTCTTACCTCTTCCTCTTCCTCCTCATCTGAGCTATCACCATCTCCATTTTCTTCAGAGGAGTCACTGTTCTAAAAAAATGTACACATGAATTTATACACATGTGATTAAATATGTAGATTTACATTTATTTACTTAGAACAGTTCTTATGCTAATGTGAAAAAGATAGGAGAGAGGGCACAAATAAAATTACGTTAGAGAGGAAAATGTATTTTACAATGGTCAAGATATATATGAGATACTCCATTTTTAACCTCAAAGCACGGATAATCTGTTAAAAACACTTTGTATGTAAAAACTAGAGCAATGAATCACAAAATTGCTTAGCTCTCAGAGACCAAGAGGAATATCTGATCCAATCTCTCTTTTTTACAAAGAAGGAATCTGAATCCCAGAATGGTTGAAACTTCAACCAGTTCAAGGCAAATCTTGGGCTAGGCATAAGATCACATTATTTTATTTTATTTCATTTATAAAATATGAATAAAATGATTATTAGATTTATTATAAAATGATTTGTTGAAGTGATTTGCTTTCCTGGTGAGTTTAAATTAGAATTTGTCTTGAAATTGTTTGCATATAATTTTTAATATTTTTCTATCTAAATTTTCTATTTAAATATGTAGATTTAAACAAAAATTGTAATATGAACTAGTATATAGAGATGGACAAAAGTAGATTTATAGTTGTAATATAAAAAATAACATAACAATAAATAAATAAGAATTATTTCTTTTGCATACTCACATATATAAACCTACTTTGGCCTCCCTATCTACTGAAAATTATGTAAGAGAAAAATTAATTCATTTACGAGATTTTAGAGTGCCATCCCTCTATAGAGCTCAATAATGAATGAGAATAAATTGAACCAAGGAATCTGGTATACAAATATAATTATAAATTAATGAGCTTTGCTACTGTTTACAGGAAAATACAAATCTAAACTTTTGCTTTCAGAGCATTTAAGACAATCCTTCATCTTTCTCCCAGTTTTAATCCAGTTGAAGTTTCCTTCTTTCTGTGCCACAACTTTAATGGCAGCACGTATACAAATGGATACCCGACATAGGATTCTGTCATTTTCTACTTTGTAAATGTTAATTTTGATTCTGACTCAGTTAAATTCCATGGGCCTTAGAAAATATAGCTGCAAAGAACCTCTAGGTTAGAAATCAGATTTTAGGAAACGGTCCAGATCCAGTCCTACTCGGGGTCGTCCTGCTGGGCTTATTCCTTAGGTGGCCACACCTTCCACCCAAGGAAAGGGAATGCTTGTCCCTTCAGCCAAGAATAACCTTGGGTGGAAAAGGTAATGAGACCTGCTCTTCCACTGCCATGACCTTAATGGTTGTTCCTTTCCCAGCCCAGAGAGTAAATAAAGAAAGATATTATATTTGAACTACTTTTATTTGTTAAATTATATAGAGAGGACAGCGCATTTTGCTTCAGTGGGAGCATTTCATCATTTTCCAAACTTTCTCATGTCTAGCTTTCTTCCCAATTCAACCACATCCTCTTCAATTAATATCTACAGCAAGAACAATTGTAAAACTGAATGTAATGCCTTGAATCCTGGGCTTTTCCTTTATTTCCTATCTTTCATTTATTCCTATTACAAATATACTTTTTTAAACCATTACTCCTTCTAACTTCTACCACTCCATCTATTCAATCCCCAAGTATATATTCCAGGCATTGTGCTGAGAATGAGGGTCATAACAAGAAATGAGGTTGGAAATATGGACAGTTTCCCTGTATTGAGCACTGTGATAGCTGAGTTCAATATCCTATATAATAAAAGTTTAATATGCTAAGTGTCCAGTTGCATATGGGCACTTAGCATATTAAGTGTCCATATGCAACTAGACACTTATTGTATATAAGTTGAACAACTGTTCAACCAATCAAAACATAATATGCTAATGATATGCTAAGGCTGCTCAATCACTCACTATGACATGCACTGACCACCAGAGAGCAGACAGTCTATCAATTGACTAGTGATTATGATGTGCACTGACCAACAGGGACATATGCTCCAACCAGTATGTTAGCTTGCTGCTGGGGTCTGGCCAATCAGGACTGAGACTGGCCAGACACACCTTGGAGCCCTCCCGTGGTCCCTCCCTGGATAGTCAACATCCCACATCCCTCCCCAGCCCTAATCATGCATCAATGGGCTTCCTCAGCCTGGCCTGCACCCTCTTGCAATCAGGGACTCCTCAAGGGAAGTCAGAGAGCGTGATCTTGCTCAACGCAGGATCTGCCCCCTGGTGGTCAGTGTGCTCCCACAGGGGGAGTGCCGCTCAGCCAGAAGCCTAGCTCATGGCTGGCAAGTGCACCAGTGGCAGGAGCCTCTCCCACCTCTGCAGCAATGCTAAGGATGTCCAACTGCAGGGAGCAGGCCTAAGCCATCAGTCGGACCTCCCCTGAGGGCTCCTGAGAGGGCGCAGGTCAAGCTGAGGGACCCCTCCCCCCGAGTGCACAAATTTCATGCACTGAGCCCCTAGTAAGATATATAAGATAATGTTCCTGCCCTCTAAGTGTTTACATACTAATCAAATATCAATTGAATCATAAAAATCATAAAAAAGCAATTTCCTCAATTAAAAAATGCTTAAGAAGTGACTTTATACTTTGATTTCTATAGCTCACAATAGATAAGATATGATAGACTGTTAATAGCTTTGCAATCACTATAGTATATTTCATACAAGTTGGTATTTTAGAAATAATTATATATAAACAGATTTAAATAAAACACAAATTTCAAAGTCAATACAGCTGAATCCATTGTTGAGTGAAAATCTGAGCACTAAATACTTAACAGACTTAAGGAAAATAAATAATAAAGAGCTATGAAAAATATACAAGTAGACATGTAAAAAAAGTCTTAAAAGTCAAACTGCAAAATAGAAGAGTATATCATGAATACTATGTAAGAGTGTTAAATTGGGAGATATATTTTATTGGATTCTTTTTAAAAAAAAACAACTATCTTACTTACATATTCTCAATTAGTTGAGATGGACCAATTTGCAGAATTTGTGGAAATTTTGTATATTTAAGATATACTTAGAGTCTGTCGATGAAAAATAAAACTTCTAATATCATTTCAGCACAGATATTTTAATTGGACCATATATATAAATTTCTAGGTGTGAATATCTTTAAGTACCTGATATTTTAGAAAGTTGAGGGGCTACTCAGAAAGTTGAATTTATTATCATTTCCATTTTATTTAAGAAAGAAAACGAAGGAAACTTTCAAATGAACAATGTTTATTTATGGGCTTGAGGTGAACCAAAGAATGGAAGACAATTCTGAAATTCCACAGCTCTTGTATCATTTGTGTTCATATTTCTTTGTCCACACACATTCCCTATCATTATTATGGTGCTAGAAATACTTTAAAATGATTACTTCCTATCATTGTATGAGTTAGAGATGGGTTGGCTCAACATATGGTAGAATGCTGTGCCAAGCCACTGTGCTGAGGCATTGTTTTCGGTATATTGGCTGCTTTTAGTGTCTCAAAAGTCCTGAGTCAAATGGTGCATAATTGGTACCTTCAACCCAAACTGTATAGGAATAAAAATAGTGCGATTCTGGTTTGTTGTGTATTTAAAATCAACACCACACCCTCCAGTTTTCAAAGACCCTCTTCATAGGTAATCCAATAAAAATAGAAACTTTTATTTTTACTTTGGCTATTTTTCTTTTTGTTTTCAAGAATTTTTTTTTTGTTTTTCTCATAAGCATGTTGGTTTACTTCATGAATTTCTCTCTTTCCTCTGCAGTTCTTGAGTCATTACAATAATTATACTCTAACGTGGGACATATTTATTGCTCCAGTGACCTACATAGGTCAAAGGTTAAAAAAAATCCTCAGCTCTCACCACTGATTAACAAAAATTTCTTTTTAAATGGTCTCTACTATTTATAAAGTCAATATTTTTTTCTACCAATTAAAGGATTCTAAAATTGTTGGATGTAAAACAACTCTATGACAGTACTGAATTAACTATAATATAATGATTAATGGCCTTTTCATTGACTTACTTATCAACAACTGATGAAATTGTCCACTTTTGTCAGTGAGTTAGCCAAAATGCCTGAATTTGATATGTCAAGGTATTTGCTATTACTATATTCTAGACTGGACCCAAATGATTTTACTCTGTTTCGTATATCACTGCTTTGAAAGAGAACTAAGGATAAATTTTATTTTATTATGTTAAAAACAAACTTTTTGTAGTAAGTGGTCTTTCTGGCTGAGTTTCAGTGAGAGTTTAATTCAGTGTTTCATAGTTAAATTTGATTCTCTTTCAATTGAAATGGGTAAAAATAAAATTTAGTTTTTATACTTACCTGAACTGGAAATCGTTTTAAAGGAGGATAAAAGTAGGCATGCTTGTAAAGATAATACCGTGGTAGGTACTTAAAAACCTGCATAAACAAAATAAATGTCATTATATTCATGTTTAATTGCAAAGACATCCAGAGTAAGTGTAGTCAGGCCAAGGAAGTATGATAAAATCAATTACCCCATTTTCTTCAGAATCATCTGATTTGGCTCTTCGGTGAAAATTTTTCATCTGTTTAAAAAATATTTAATTATTACATATCCTCTATTTGACATAAAAAAGATAAAAATGAAGATAAATATAGGTTTTTAATAGAGAACTTACTGAGAAAGCACAGGCCATTCCCAAAATGCTGAGCAAAATTAAAGCAGTCTTCATTTTGATGATTGCCTCTGGAATTAATGAAGTGGTAAAGTTAACATACATTAAAAATAAAAATGCATTTCTTTTTCTCATACTAGATGATGAAGTATTTAATTTGTTTTTATTTCTCCCCAATTATAGTTTTGAGTAATTATGACCAAATGTCTGCTTTTGTTTAAAAATTGTTCCTTTTATTTAAAGGATAGAAGACTGAGTTTAACCACCTGTAAATAATCTTGAGTTCCATATTTGGCCTTAACATATCTGCCTTGATCTGTCACTAGAAGACCATCTCATCACCTCGTGAGCACTTAGCATACGACTCATTGGGGTTTGGAGGCCTCCTAATATCACTGACACAGGAGTATCAGCTAAGTGAATTGAATTGTTAGTGTGGTTATGGGATCTGTTTCTTTTCTTTACAATTAAAAACAAAGCAAACATTGAATACATTTAAATGATTGTTTTTATGCCAATGATTCTACAGGTGTTTCCAACTTCTATGTAGCTTTTGAACTAAAATGTTGTTTGTAATATTCTACAATACTTGGTGTGTGTGTGTGTGGCATGCTGCACCAATAGCCATGTCTAAGGATGTTTCTACAGGAAAAGTTCATCAGAGTTTCACCTTAAAATATCAGGGGCAAATGCCTGTAAATTAGGTTTTCTCCAGCTCCATTTAAGCTTCCTGTCACTAGTATGGGAGTCTGTCCTGGGGTAAATCAGGGGCTTTTCAGGGTCAGGGAAGAGTTGAAGATGCCACTCTCAGAGTGAGAATAGTTCTGAACAGTCTTGGGGTTTGTAGCCATACAAAGATTTCAGTTCCACATGGAATCCTCTTAAGTAAAGGGAATAGAGTTAGTGAGATCCTACCTTAATTTTATTGTATTAGATAAAATCCAGTTTAATAGAGGCTCTAACACCAACCCACATGCACTGACATACACTTTTAACCATGAGTGCTTTCTCTATCAGAGTGCCAGCTTTGCTACGTCGTAGAAGCAATGTGTAGTGGTGATGGCAATTTCCCCATAAACGCACTTGGATAAGCTACATTTAAAATGTATAAAACCCATGTATGGACTGTATCATGGAGGTTGATTTGGCATTTTGTCACCATTCACAAGGTTTATTGCATCCGTTCTGAGTATCTCACACTAAAAACAAACATTACATCGGGAAAGGTTTGAGACCTGAGGAAGCTTGTTGGGTCTGTGGCCACATTCTATTTGTGGCAGAGTGGGTCTTTGATTTTGATGCCTACACATTTCCTCACAGTCCTCCCACTTCAGTAAAAGCTCTTGGTGGTCACACTGGATAAAGAGGTCTTGCCCCTGAAGGGGGTTCATCTGTTTAAGAAGCTTGCATTGTTCTTGGAGTGCTCTGAATAATACTTTGAACTTTGCCAGCCCCCACCTTCGTGCCCTTCCTCCCCCAGAAAAAACAACAACAAAACTGGAAAGATTGTTGTTCTGCAGCTTTGTAGCTTTATGGAAAAGAGTTGGGATAATAATAATATCTTAAAGAAATAAAAACCATAGAAAGAGTTTTTATTACATAAATTTCTTAGAAAAAACCATAAGAATAACTAAATGAAAACATAGCAGGGGTAATATGAAAAGAACCGAGTGATTTAGGTAGGTAACAATTGGCTGCCTACATAAATCTCATTTTATTTACTTTGTGATTCAGCAAAAGCAAAGACCTTTATATTGATCATAATAACCCAGACAACAATTTAAATATTTTTAAAGGATAGTTTTGTGACTCTGATTACAAGTTTTTATTGGGAAAAGTACAATAAACCACCAATATAATCTATTTCTCTAGTACTAAATGTCTTCCCATGCTGATTTCAGAGCTATAGGATAGTAATACTTTGAAACTGAATGTATTATGTATTGAAAAGATTTTATATAATGGAAATGCTAATTAGGCATAATTTATGGGGTGATCTGCATACAACGAGGAAGACTTGCAAATGCAAAATAGAATTTACTCATGTTGTCTTGAATGAGGAAATAAACAGTTATCTATGAGATGCAGAGAAACTAAGAAGCATAATTGTAAATCTGAGGTACTAAATTAATGGTAAACAAGTATTAAATTACATAGTCATTTTATACAGTTCAATAATATCAACATTTAAATAAAAAATTTTAAAGCTAAGTCCAGAAACGTAAAACATGGACTGTTTGATTTTTAGGATAATGAAGCTGTCATATTAAATCTTACCCGTTTGCAGTCCTGGAATGAAGAGGCAGGCTCACAGGAGTGAGTGACACAGATTGAGTATTTCCTCTGGTCTCTCACTCACTCATTCACTTGCCCCTGCTGGCTATAAACTCTTCTTTGCCTTCCAACAGCCAATCACTGTCACGGTCAAGGTGATGTCAGAATGTGGATTCTCACCAGAAAACCCCCAAACATCAACACTTTTTCAAGACACAGGCTCAGTTGAATAAACATGAAACATAGTTTTAGTGCCAAGAAGTTTGCATTGTGGAATTTAATTGAAGGGTTAGATGAAGATGAATAGTTTGCCTTCTGAATATATATAATATGCTGGATTTGAATGAAAATAGCAAAACATTTAACCATTTAAAAATGTCATAATTATACAAGTGTTTACTATGTTGAAAGGAAAAAAAAACTTAGTCATCAAATACAATCCTACATTATTAGTTTAGTAAAAACAATTAAATAATAAAGAGCTGAATAACAATATTTTATTTTATATCAATTGTTTTATATTTTCCTGAAATATGCTTCACTGCTTAATGAGTTAAATATCAATACAATTAAATATCAGGATTTATAAGATATATTTGCTAAAATATCACTGAGTATAAAAGTTTAAACTTTTAAGGATCATCCTACTGACAGGAAGGTTTCAGGCTTTTTTGTTTGGTTTGGTTTTTGTTTTGTTTTTTGTAAAATAAACCTCTTAGATTAGTTATTTATATGGTCCTTTCTTATTGCAGAAGCAATGTAACTAAATTTTTTTCCCTTGGGCTTCTGTATAGTTTTTCTGTTCATTTTCCTACTTAATGTTTTATGTGTATAGAAAAATAGGATTACAGCTGGCAAATGTCATCAGTTGTTACTGAAATGATTCATGAAAAATGAACACACAAAGGACTAATTGATAAATTAAAGTGCTAATTTTTTTTAATTTTCAAAGAGAAATTTAGTTAAATAGCTTGTATATTCTCCTTATCCAGTAATTTTATTCTACCTGAGAAATACATACACACACACACATATGTATATATATACATATATATACATATTCATATACATATATATGTGTGTATGTATATATATATTTTAGAGACACAGTGCACAAAATTGGTGCACTTGGGAGGGGAGGGTCCTTCAGTCCAGCCTGTGCCCTCTCACAGACAGAGCCCTTGGGGGATGTCCTACTGATGGCTTAAGCCCACTTCCCACAAGGAGCGGGCATAAGCCAGTAGTCAGACATCCTTAGCACTGCTGCAGAGGCAGGAGAGACTCTCACCACCACCACCACCACTGCACTTGCCAGACATGAAACCAGCTTCTGACTAAGCGGCGCTCCCCCTGTGGGAGTGCACTGACCACCAGGGGCAGCTCCTGTGTTGAGTATCTGCCCCCTAGTGGTCAGTGCACATCCTAGTGACCAGTCATTCCACCGTTTTGTCTATTTGCATATTAGCCTTTTATTATATAGGAGATCCTCACCCGAGAGAAGAGAGAGAGAGAGAGAGAGAGATCAATGTGAGAAAGAACATCGATTGGTTTTTTTGTCTTCCATACTTACTCTACCAGGGATGGAACCCACAACATAAGTATGTGCTTTGGGAATCGAACCAGCACAGAACAACACTCAACCAAATGAGTCACTCCAGCCAGGCAACAAATATCATTTTTAAATATATGCCAGTCACCTTGTTAGATGGGATGGGACTGGGATGAGGCAGGTCTTCCCCAGCACAGTCTGAAATATGTAGGTTCTTGACTTCATGCAGTAAAGATTTCAAGACATGAATTAAGGTGATTTTGAAAATATGCTTACTAAAGCTAGGGACAGTGAAACAAAGGAAGGACTTAGGATAGAAGAGGCAAGGCCACAGCAATAGGAGTGAGCCTAGGTGGAGTTGTCTTGGTTCTTTTTTTTTAAATCCTCATCCAAGGATATGCTTACTGATGAGAGAGAGAGAGAGAGAGAGAGAGAGAGAGAGAGAGAGAGAGAGAGAGAGAGAGACATTGATGTGAGAGAGACCACTGATTGTCTGCTCTTCATACATGCCTTGATGCCTTGATGGGAGATTGAACCAGCAACCTCCCATCAAGCAGGAATCAAACTGAAACCTTTTGATATATTGGATGATGCTCCAACCAACAAAACCACACTGACCAGGGCCTGCCTTGGCTCTTTCAGAATAAAAGTCATAAAAACAGAAGTGTGCCACACTGAGCTGCATGGACTCAGGAAACAAGTTACAGAGGCAAAAGGAGGGCCCCTGGAGACAGCTTCAGCGGGTTAGCCCAGGATGAAGTGCCGCTGCCCGATGCTCTCTGGTTGCAAGTCTTTTGGGAACCCTTAGTGCTTAAGAGAAAGAAAGCAAAGAAGGAGGGGACATGCATGCTCAAGGGAGAACATCCTTTGTCTTAAGAGTTTTTATCTGTTTTCTAAAGGCAGGAATTTTAGGGGAGGTTTCAGGATCAAGTCTCAACAGAATATTCATCAGCTTTCTACATGTGTCCTTTAATAGGCTAATGAATCAAAATGAGCATATGGGAGAGGGGGGTGGTTGGGATAATTTTCTGGTCAGCTTTATTTTTATCTGGGATTTGTCTGGTTCTAATTGGTTTTTGTGTTATTTGTTCCCCTGACTTCATCCATTCCGGGGTTTGGCTGGCACTAATGACACCAACTGGGTCTCTGTTATCTGTCTCCCTTACCAGGGTGATTTAAGCTACTCTTTCTCTAGTTATAGAGGAGAGATGTGAACCATTTGCTCCTAGATGTC